ATTGTTAGCCTATTGTTAAAAAAAAAACGGTGAAATATTTGCAGGAAAACAGAAAGTCAGATGATGAGATGTGTTTAAGTGCTGAAAATACAGTAGGGAGAAAACAACATCTCAGTTTGGACATGTAACTTTTTTAACTGAGTGAGAAATTCTTAAATTCTCCCTTGCTTTTGTTTATATTATATGCTGTCTTGTTCAGAGCTTCTAAAAGCTTTTAGCATGCGTTTAACAATAATTTGACACGTTAACAACAACAACAACAACAACAACAACAACAACAACAACAATCATCTCATCCAAACTCCTGCATACATGGCCTAATGTGAGCTGTCTGCAAGTGAAATACTTTATTTTTACTCTAATACAGAATTAAATATAAACATCTGAAGCCAACATTTTGGACAAAACTGACTCTTSAGAAATCCCTTTCTTTAAATGTCCCAGTGGCTTCCTGAGTGCTTTGAGAATATTCATCAGTGGATCTCGCTTGTGTGTACTTGATGGCAGTGTAATCTGAGCTCTCAATCTAGGGTTTATTATAAACTCTTTTGCACATTTCCTCTCATTGTGTTCTAGGAAGTGCTGGGAAGGCTGTAAATTAAAATTAGAGCACAGCATAAAGCACCTGTTTTGTTTGACTTGACTTTTTTTTCTGAAAATGCATAAAATAAGTGCTTGACCACTTAAAAAAGAAAAAAAAAATCGTACAGCACAACTTGATGAGTGACTGRCAGCCACAACCATTTGCTAAAAACTGAAAGCAGCTATTTTTAGGTCTGACTTCCCTCCACTGTAACACATTTAAAAGATTATAAACGGTTATTAGTGAAAGCCTATTGCATGTCAGAAACAGGAAATCATCCCAGCCTGTTCGTATTTGAAGAGAAATTGAAGGAAAACTGCACCCAYAGCTGCATGTTTGAGCAAGACCCACTAAAACCTGTTGTTACGTAATAGCCAAAGGGGGGATTGCRTCAAAAAAAGGAAAAAAAAATGTTGAGCACAATTCTTGGAATACAAGGCAAAAAGTTAAAGGGGTCTTTATTTAGTGACACTGTTTTACTGGCAAAGAGCAATTGTGGGAACTGAGCTCGTCCTCATTAGACGTAAAGAATGTTTTCATCTCGGCTCGTAGTCTAGAGGAATGTTTACAGAAAATGAGCAAATAAAAGCGAGTGTGACTCACTTCATTGCTTTCCTCATAAATCCAAAGAAAAAGTCATGCGTAAAACCTGACAAATGGCTACTAATTTACTGCAGAAAAAGCCKGGAGACGTGTATATCTAACATCACAACACTGCGGGTAGTTGTGCATGGATTATTATTCTGCTGTGATTTCCTGTAATCCACTGTAGTTTTATCTTTGGAGGGATCTCCTGTTGATGGTGCATTTTGTTTTCTCCCATTTTTGAATATAAATCAGACCAAACCAGTGRCTTGATGTCAAACAATGTRAAATTGTGTATTTTCCACACATTTTTATACAGCAGATAATTAGTTTTTGGCCTCAAACGTCACAAACAATGGGTGGGCTGGATCTTTCTTTTTAACTGTTCGTGGTGGTTGTAATRAAGTCGAATGAATGTGGGGCCAGACAGATGCCTTCCTGACTGTGCCCTCCATTTATCTGTATTTTTATTCCACTTGTCATACTGTACGTGTATGAGTAAATTGTATCTGTTACTGTAGCTCAGTCCTAATTCTCATTTAATGGAAGTGAGCCACTTTAGKGTAAGCCTTATCCTGAATAATGAGTTTCTAAGCCTCTTTGGAACACGACTCATAGTAGTGGATCAAAGCGTTGTAATCTCCAACATAGAGATGCTCAAAGGTTGAGAATTTAAAATCTGATTATATGCTTCGTTATTAATGCAATACTAAATCTTCGGAATGACTGCAAAATAGTTTTAGATGTATTTTAGTTTAAGATAACTGAAKGATTGTTTCTGTTATGCACAAAAACTGCACACAATACAGAAAATAGGAACTAGAATTAGGAGGTTTGTGTCAGTGTTTGATGATGGTTGGAAATTGCWTTCCCCCCAATATAAATCCTCCTAAAGATCGCTGCTAACATCAGAAACAAAACATAAACTGACATCATGTAAAATGTGCTGCACAAATGTTATCAGTTGAAGACAATAGCTGCTGTTGTTTTTACAGCTGTCAGTTTTTACTGTTAGCCAGTGAGTAAGGCAGTAAAATCTTTCAGTTTGAGCATCCCTAAGGCTTCGAGGGAAAGTGATATGAATGTAATTTGACACCGTTTCTGTATGTATCTGATGTGTGTATGAATATCTGTGTGTCCTCAGGGTGACTTCACCTGGAACAGCACACTGGGACACAGCGTCTGCCTGAAGCCGGTCCCCCTGCAGAGCCTCTCAGAGTTGGAGCGGGTTCGTCTCCAGGAAGTGGCCCTCAGGCGACTGGTTCGGTGTCATGACCTGGGTTGCCACATCACTATCCCTAAAGGTACCAACCCTCCTAACGTCACTGATGTTTACACATTTTCTCTTCTAACAAACTGCACAAACAGATTGGGCCTCATGCAAGAACATGTTCGTATTCTTATCCTAAATTTCTCTTACTTTTGTTCGTACAAAGAGTTCGTACGAACATGTCACGTCAGATTTAACAAAMTCTTCTATCTTCAGGAAAAGTGTGTAAATGAGCTGCGTAAATTCCACCTGTTCTAATCCAGCTGCTCGTGCACGCAAGAAGAGGTTAGCATAATTTCCACCCCTAAAGCACCATATAAGGCTATGTTTCCTGCCTCAGATATCAGGAAGTGTCCATTCTTGAAAATGACAGCGAAAACTAAAAAGAACTTTACGAGTTCAGAGATTGAAGTCCTGCTCTCAGAGATCCAGAAAAGAAAATCTGTCATTTTAGCAGGTCAGCTGTGGGATAAAAAGAGCTGCTAAAAGTATAAACAACTGTGTTAAATCATTTTCATTTATTCAGAAGACACAGCGCTGCGCACCGTACCCCCCCGCGCGCGGTCTCAAGTGGTCTCTGTTGCGGTTCTGAAATAAGCATTTTAAAAATATATCTGGCACTTTGGAGAAAATCCAGGACTCACTGGAGGGATTATAAACCCCCTCTGGCCTGGGAACGTCTCGGTCTCCCCCAGGATGAGCTGGAAGGTGTCGCTGGGGAGAGTGGGGTCTCCTGCTGCCCCCACTACCCGATCCTGGGTAAACGTAAGACGTAGAATTTATATTGTTAGTCTAAATTATTACATTTAAAATTATAACTCTAATTCAAGCAGAATAACCTATTGTC